AGCGAGAGCGAGAGCGAGAGCGAGCCAGTTGCATCACTGTCAGCATGCGCGGATGACTCCATGGCATGTGGGCCCCGGCGTATGTACAAGCTCTGCTAGTAGAGCCGGTCTGAGCCGTGGTGCTTAGAGAGAGAGAGAGAGAGAGAGAGAGAGAGAGAGCGAGAGAGATCCCAACCCTCTACCTTTGAAGGATCCCTAAGGGCTCTTGCCTTTTAAAGCTCCTCTTCGGGCTCATTCATGCCCAAATGCCCCCGGGATTCGATCGTTATCTTGGGGGGGTTACGAATCGGAGGAGCGGCTTAATCGTTTCGCAGTGCAGCAACCCGATGCTAGAATCGCCTCTTGACACCTTCCGCGAAATTCGCATGTAAGCTCATCGACGGCCTGGTGCTGCACCTAGAGGCACGAGATCCACGTAGAGCCACTCGAATGCGACAGCTGTTCATGCACTGTCCACATCGTGGTCCCACATGTCCAACATTGCACATTCGTGAACGGCCACGAAGGCACCTTCACTGCCTGCTGCATGTGGTCCGCAACCTGCGAGGGATACATGCCCAGCGCTTTTGGAAGATCTTGGTGTGTTGAGTTGCACCCGGCCTGTCGCAAGCGCCCGAGCTCTCTCGCATGTCTCTCTCGCTCCTTGCAGGAGCGAAAACCGAAATCGTGCCGAATAGCCGTGTGCACTGCAAGGCCTCTGCCAGTGCTTTCTCAAACTTTCTTCTCAGATCCTGCCAGACGATTTATATTTGCATCGGAGTGACCCAAGCCGCAGCACGAAATAGCAGCAGGCTTTACAACTTGAACAGCCAAAACTCCAAATCACATTGAAGGCGAAAGTAACTTCAACGGGTTGAACTTTGCGTTTCGACTGTGTCACGAGAGAGCGGCGGCGAGAGCTCAGCCTCTGGAGACCTGCAACTCTCACAGCGAACTGCAGTCGAGCGTCGGCCACCACCTCAGCTACTCAGCTACGACCGTTTTCGAAAACTTGGTTTGAGCTTCGTACGAGGCCGCTCACTGCGGCGTTTAGTCTCAGAGAACAAAGGTGCACGACGAGCTGCCGTGCTTGTAGACTCGGACAGGCGGTCCGCTGCCTCTGCCAAAGCAGCCTCTGATGCCGGAAGCTTGTTGCAGTCCGTTTGCGCGGGATGAAATCTCCGAAATGCCAGCCCCAAATGGTTAACAAGCACACAACTCACGAAATCAATGCATCTTCTCAGTCTTAGCTTAGCACTGCGAAAAACAAGCGTGAGAGTGCTTTGCTTGAAGATGTGTAAACGTGTAACGCAATGTTCCCGGCCTCCTTGGCAACCAGCCTGGTTCCAAAAGTGTGCAGAAAGTGATGTAGCTCCTCGAACTCTGAGGACAATTCATTTGACTTCAGCGACCGCTCGGAGAGCCTCATGCAAGCTCTCGGACAGCTTCTCGATGGAATACTCCATACTGCTCAATCCCAACAGTCTCGCCGGTACCCCTTCATCCTGGCAATGCTTCCATCTTCAAGCGATGTCAGGAACATCGCGATATCATGCTCCGACGCTCGTGCGGTCCTGCGCAGCGGAAGCCTGGTCTTTACTGCCCCTCCACCATGGCGTTCGAGGTGGGGAAGATCGAGATCGGCGGTAGATCTTGGCATGAGGCTCCTGATACTGAAGAGTGCGAACGTTTGCCTTCTGCCTTCGCAGTCTGGCTGGCACGTGCGCCAGCATCTTTGACAGGAACAAGCACAGAAAAGATGGTTTAGCCGTACACCCAAGTTTCCATGGCATCTTTGTCCATGTGGTTGAAGACGATCCTGCCGACAATAACCGCAATAACCATCGAAACAAGAACTTGTTGTGCTCTCCATGCCGACTGCTCTCCATGCTGTGACTGCCCATGCAGCGCGACGGAACCCTGTGCTAATACACCAACACTGGGAGATGCTGGCAACTCGAGGTTGCTCTAAACGTCCACGTCCTTGCGCGGCGCAGCGACGATTCAATGCTGAGAATGTCAACTCCATGACGATGAAGACCTGGGAGACCCGGCCGCCGAACACAGCTGTGCTTGAGCAGATCACCCTCATGGAGCAAGCTACACGAAAAATGCCGAGAGATGGCACGCAAAAATAAGCGTGACTCACGTGCAGAAACGAAACGACACCTATGCAATCTGATGATGCTATACTGACAAGCAGTTCCCACGGCAACTTGCAGGCTCCAATCTTCGTTGCCGATCAAAGACCCAGCATTTCGCCCGAAGCCAGCTCGAAGTAAACCGCAGCTATGCATGCATCCCGTCACCCGCAGACTTACACTTCAGCTTTGTAGTTGCTTCAGTCGACAGTTCACACCAGCACTGAGCCGAAGATAGCACATGAGACGAAGCTCGCCGCACCTGCATTGCATTGTTCTGGTGCGCCTACTGGGGTGGAGTGTCTCCGTGATTCACAAAGCGGCCTTGATTGCAATGCTCCATTTTCCGAACACTGCTCGTGAGTGTGTTGCTCTGCTCCAGCTGCAGAAGCACTGGAGTCTTCAATGCAGTCTGCATTGTTGAGCTGTGTGAGACTATGCGAATCTCAGCTTGCCAAGTCAGATAGTCTCTCTTTGCACTCCACGGCCCATCGTCGCGGATCGGCTGCTGATCTCGACTTTTCGACATCAGTGGCACGCGAACCAAAGCTCGGCAACAAGCCCAGGGCCCACTACGAAGCCGTCAGACTTCCGATATGATTGTTCACAGAAGTCTGTTTAAACACTCGTGGCAGTCAACCCATCACGTATCTTCGGTGGTCACAGAAACCCCTGGCAGTCAAAAACAAGCATGCCGGCCCAGCAGTTCGCTCAACAACTCCATGCACAGCTTAAGTAGCACCACAAGCCGAGCGAGCAGAAACACTAGCAGCCAGACCTGTCCCGTCGGAGAAGCACTCGGCCTCGCTTTCTCCTCGGTACGAGACATGAACACACATGCTGCCCGTGTGTTGCTGTCGTCGAACACACAGAACAAGCTCGAGCAGCTCCTACGAGAAAGCAAAAAAACGAAAGCCAGAAGCAGGCAAACGAAAAGCAATACACTCCAAAACGTGCTCCATGGCACGAAGACTAGAAGGGTTTAGAAAATTGCTCCTGCAGCTTCTCCTCGCGCTGTACCCCAGTCTGTTCGTGAAGCACCTCTCCCAAGGGTAGGACGGAAGTACAATGTTGGACTCCACGTCTCATCCCGAACCACGGCCCTAGCCACACGCCTTCCTGAAAAGTTCACCCTGCGTAGCCTTGTCTTCTTTGGCCACTTGACAAAGCCGTGCAGCCTCCATTCCTCATACAGTAGATGCTGTCAGACGGAATTTCGGTTCTCACCCGGCCGTCCGCATCCGGCAACTGCAAACCATCTCTGAGGGACAAAACGTGTGGCCCATCCTGAATCTTGAAACTTCTCTTCCGGAGCCGCCTGCGGCATGCGTATGCCGACTAACTTAGCCGCAGCCGGTCTGATAAAACGCACATTCGGCATCTCTACGGCACAGTATACTTCGAATTGCAAAGCCACCGCTGCATCAAGCCAACATGGCACTTGAGGCATACACAAAAAGATAGTTCCGTGCCTGAACGACTTGCGCGGAAGCTGCTTGCTCCCGCAGAAGCCTGACTGGAAGCACAATCTCAATGCCAAAAACCCAACCCGATCCGACTACAGATCTCCGCGCAAGGCTCTGCCTGCGTTCGCGCTGCTCTTCGTTGCGACGCCTTTCCACGGCTGCTTCGGATTTAACCTGACACTGCACGAATCGGTTGTGATCCTTGGCGCCAAATCGTGAAAAGTGCGCCTGGAACGAACCAGGATGCTGCGAGAGCGAGGCACTGGCCTCCAACACATGGGACAGTTGCTGGCTTGCCTACACGGGGTTTTGCTTGTCTTGTTGCGAGCTCTGCTTGCCAAGGCATTCCAACTTGCTCTGCATGCATTGCTTCAACTGCATCAGCACCCGGCCATCTCGGCGTGGCGGGGTCGCTGAAGAGATGGGGCCTCTCTGAGTTTTTCCTGCTCAATGTCACAGTACGCAACCAAAACATCAAGACCAAAACCACGTGCGAAACCGAAAGAACCACAGTGACTTGTCACGAGTACATCACATGTCGCGCCTGACGCACGGGAGTGGGGGCATCAGGAGGGTCTTCGCAAGCCTGAATCGGTAAAAAGCATGTTGCTTGTAAACATCATTCGCAAACTGGCACGACTGCATCTGATTTTCTGCTCAAGCACACGGGATTGCGGCAGCACATCGGAATCCATTGGTGGACGCTGCGCACAAGCCTGCAGGAACATGGGCGCAGCACAACTCCAAATGGAGCTGACAATGGACTTGCTGCTGGCCACGGTTCATCGAAATATCTACGATGACGTGGAAAGCACCAGGAGGTCAAAGCAGCAATCAGGGGCGAACGAAAACCTGTCAATCCGTTTACCTCCGAACGCTCCGAAAACCAAGGTCATGCCAACAGAAGTGGGCGGTGTGCATCCCTTCCCGCCTCACAAACACCCATGCCCATTTCTCACCCAAGTATGGCGAAACATCTTCCTTGTGCTCGAGCCGGAACCACCCGCACACCAAATACAACGTAGCATATGTCGTATGGCTGTCATGGTCCGCCAAATGCCATCTCATGAATCTTCCGTGAATGCCCGTTTGATTGGCGTGCAAAGGTCGGTCGGGTGGTGAAAGCACTCGCGGCATGGTGCCCCTATTGCGAATCCAACATGGCAAGGGCATCAAGTTCACGGCGGATGGCATGGCGGCAAAATTTACTGTACGAACTGTGCGTCATGCTTGGAGCTGCATGGCGCCCACGTGTTTTGTCGGGTCGTCTTCGGGCGGAGAGAGTCCAAGTTTGAAGGTCGCAATGCCCAGATTTTGCAGGGGGGGCCTTGACTTGTTGTGGTGGCGGTGGCCGCCAACTACATCATGCTAAGAGATGTGAGCATCCATGTGTCGCGATCGAGCGGACGTGTGGGGCCCCTGTTCTGTGTGCCGTGGCTGGCTGTGTTTGGGGGGCTTCTTGGGGCGTTGCCGTTCCAAAGCCCACGCCGCATGCCTTCGTTTGTGCTGTACACAGAGTCGACCTCCCCGGCATGCTCCCGGGCGTGGGCCTAACAAGCAACGCGGGGCGTTTGCACAGCCTGGTGAACGCGCGGAGCCACCCATGCGTCCGCTCCTCGGCGTACATGTTGGCGAAGCAACCAACCCGGGTTCGCCTGACGATTGCGCGAGCCGCCGACATCGCACGCTGCACGCCCTCGCCCAGATGGGCCAGAGCCGCCCTTCTGCGCCCTTTGTTTCGGACGGAAAGACGCTTTCGGACCCCGCACCGCCACGCGATGACCTGCCTTCTGCGAGGCCCAAAGCCCCGCCGCCGGCACCGCCGGGGGATGCGCACCCATCGCACCCGACAGTGCCCGACCACACGACGCCGGGCTGCTCTTCTGCAAGCGACTGCTCGCGCGGCCGCTGCGATGCGAGATCGCGGCCGCTGCGAGGCGAGATCAAGTCCCGCAATCCCCCGGAAGGGAGTTCCAGGAACCCGAGCGTGCCGCATTGGCAAAGATGCACGTCCGCCGAGCGTCCGATGCTCTTGGCTGTTTGCGCCCCGTATACTCCACGCAGGCGCTGGCCACCTCACCAGCGCAGCCGAACAGGCCTGGCATGCGTGACGCGTTTTGCAAAGCTTGCAGCTGCCCTGCGCCACGCCCCCAGCATCCCGCCCGTCACGTTGTTGCGCCGTATACGTGCTGATTGCGAAAACGACGAGCTCGGCATGTTGGCAGCAGGGGCTGACGCGCTCGAAGAGCGACTGCGCAGCTATCCACGCTGCCATCTGACGCTCCATTGCCAGTCTCCGCAGCAGTGCTTCTGTGCACCTACCTCGTCGCGCCAGCTCAGTCCGCTCTGCTCCAGGCCTACGGCGGAGGCGCGCTCGCGGCCGTAACGCAAACCCTGGCTGACGATGTCGTACCACGTTCGTGCCGCTGTTCGATCGCGCTGCTCACCGGTTAACACCGCAGGCACAGAAGGTCGCGCCGCAACCGGCCAACTCGCCACCAGCACGGCGAGGCCAATACTACGGACGCAGATTCGGACACCGTTCCCACGTGCCCACCGCCGGCCACATCGAGAAGCGACGCAATCTGGGAAGCTCTCGACGACGTTGACCCTGCTCCTACCCTGCCGGACGCGCCACCCTTCATGCGAGCCGCTGTCCGCAACGCTTTGACAACGGCCCTCACACGCCTACGTGCGCACGCAGCGCCTGGGTTGCGCATGCAGCGTGCCTCCCTGCACCGATGGATGGGCATGCTGGCCGTGGCGGCACAACGCGCGTTGGCTTACTCGCTGCTTGTGTTAGCGGACGAATGCGACGGCACCGAGCCGCCTCTGGGCGATCTTCTGGCGGATGCCCGTGACGCCGAGGCAGTGCCCGCAAGTCGTTTCCCCGCCCCATGACGCTCGCCCTCTTCGTGCTAGCCTGCACACGCCGACTGCGAACGAAGATGCAAAAAGGTCCGGATAGAAAAAAAAAGAGGATGTCCTCGCCAGCCGCTTGTTGTCCCCATGCTAGCCAGCCGCGCGCGTCCCTTCGGCGCTGCGACGCAACCGCAGGTGGTAGGACCGGGACCACTGTCGGACGTCGGAAAAAGGCGCGTGGAAACAAAAGTGAGGGAACTGGCCCGACCGCCTCCAGAGCATGGAAACTTTTCCATCCCCCTTCACGTTTCCATGTGGGGTTGCCCCCCCCCCCAAGGAAGTATACTTTGGAGTTGGGGCCAGAA